AATAGCACGGAATTTAAAAAGTAATGTTAGGAGTTTGATAACACAATTCTACGTATCATACAAAGAATAAACAAGAAATCTGGGAAAAACAATGTTATTTTTAGTTTGAAAAACTGAATGCATAATTTGCCAAAATCTTTGAAATATGTTAAATTTGGTCCATATCTTTACTTCTAGTAACTAAATTACCAATGACAAAAAATAATTAATTCAACTTTGTGTGCTTTCGAGGAAATAAAAATGTAGAAGAAAGTCACTCTCAATTTACAAGAAATAATTAAGTAAAAGTAGAATTGCAAATAAATTCACAAATAGAGGAAAAAAATTAAACCAGAACATGGTCATTTTGTTCATTTGGTTTTTTATGAGACAGAATCTTACTATAGATCTCAAGCTGTCCCAGGACCCAGTATGTAATCCAAATCTTCAGAAATCTTACAGAAATCTGCCTGCCTTTACCTCCTGGATTATGGAATTAGCAGTATAGACCACCACACACCTGGTTTTGATGTCTTTGAGTACCTTTACTCATGTGGCCCATTGTCACTATTCTAATGACATTCTTTCTTTGTGTTCTATACTACCTTTTTGTTTTGAACAAAATTTCGTACTTTGCAAAAAAAATTAATAAATTTTCAACTAAAATAAGTAAGAGGCAAATAACTTTATAATGTCAAAAATTTAAAAAGTAGCTTCACCTTATGAGAATAGAAAGAATAATCTAGGAATACTATAAATATCTCTAATTTTCCAAAAATCTTGAATTATGTAGAGGAAGTTATTGTTTGAAACACATTTTTATCATAACTTACCCCAAGAAAAGATCAACTATCTTCCTTTTGTAGGTTTGTGAACTGAATCAAGCTCCTACTATTCCAAGTTCTACATTCCTAGCTCAAAAGTTATTCTCTTTAATTTGTTAAAATTTTATTGATTTTTCTGAGCTATACATTTTTCTCTGCTACCCTCCCTTCTTTTCCCTTCTGCTTCAACCTCTCCCATGGTCTTCATGTTCCAAATTTATTCAGGAGATCTTGTCTTTCTCTATTTCCCATGTAGATTAGATCTGGGTATGTATCTCTTACGTCCTCATTTTTGTTTAGGTTCTTTGGGATTCTTAATTGCAGGATGGTTTTCTTTGCTTTATGTCTACAAGCCTTTTATAAGTAAATACAAATGATATTTATCTTTCTAGGTCATAGGTATCTCACTCAAGACGATGTTTTCTAGATTCATCCATTTAGCTGAATTTTTTTTCGGCTGTGTAGTAGTCCCTTGTGTAAATGTACCACATTTTCATTATCCATTCATTGTCGAGGAGCATTTAGGTTGAGAAAAGCCTTACCCTTCACAATAGCCACAAATAGCATAATATATCTTGGAGTAACTCTAACCAAACAAGTATAAGTACAACAAGAACTTTAAATCTTTGAAGAAAGAAATTGAAGAAGACACCAGATAGTGGAAAGACTTTCCATGATCTTGGAAAGGTAGAATTAGCAGTAAAAATGGAAATTGTTCTAAGAGCAAACTACAAATTCAAAGCAATGCTCATCATAACCTGTGAGATGCACCCCTTGACCAGCAAGCAGGGACGACCACGAAATCGAGAATCCTTCCCAAATCACAACTTTATTGGCGCACTCGATTTAAGGGGGAATGGGTGACGAGAGAGAGACAAGCCGAGCGGCAGCTGCTTTTCTAGGGTGGAGCGGCTCGGATACTGATTGGTTAATACCATTCCGCTGGAGCCCGGGATTTTGGGATAGGCTAGGGAACCAAGGCTCAGTTATGCAAAATACAAGCCCAAGGCGCTCTGGCTGTTGCTGCTGGCTCGTGCAGCAACATCAAAAGGATCTGTTTACCTCCAAGCTGCAGGACCTCTGGCACCATTTCGCCATGGCGAAGTCCTGGCGGCCCCTTACAATGAGCCCAGCAAAATTCTTCACAGACCTCAAGAGAACAGTACTCAACTTCATATAGAAATGCAAGAAAACCCAGGATTGCCCAAAACAATTATGTACAATAAAGGCATTCTGGAGACATCATAATTCCTGACGTCAACTCTACTACCAAGCTATAGTTCTGAAAACAGCCTGGTATTGCCATAAAAACAGGAAGGACAATGAACCCAAATCGAAGACCCAGATATTAATCAACACACCTAAAAAGACTTGAGTTTTGACAAAACAGCAAAAAATATACAATTGAAAAAAAAAACCAATATTTAACAAATGGTGCTGGCATTACTGGATAGTAACATGTAGAAGAATGAAAATAGATCCATGTCTATCACTATGTATAAAACTCAAGTCCATATGGATCAAAGACCTCAACACAAAGCCAAACAACCACACTGAACTTCATAGAAGAGAAACTTGGAAGTACATTTGAATGTATTGGCAGAGGAGACCACTTTCTAAATCTAATGCCAGGCCCAATCTTATTCAGGCCTATTGCCAGCAACCACAGCTTCTGTGGCACTTGGTATTGCGTTGTGTGCTTGTCATGTTCTCATATGCTGTGTAATGCTATGAAGATCGTGTTGTGCATCACTCCTCACTATCTTCTGGCTCTTACACTCTTTCTCTTCTGCTGTTTACACTGAGACTCTGACAGAGTGGTGTTAGCACCCTGTTGATACAACATACTAAACATTCATTTACTGAAGCATATTGAAAAGACACAGATATCTGCATTCATCTCTGATTTCTGCATAAAGAAGATTGTCCTTTTCATAATATACTTTATTCAAAATAAGGAGAGTAACATAAAGTAGAGTGGTGCATATGTGTATAAATATCTCTGTGGTAAAAAGGAGCATGTAGTTAATATTATAATTACCTTTTTGAGATAAAAATACCCAGGAGTTGCTTTAGCACAATGTATACATGGGTGTTTCTGTGTGGTGTTGTACTTAAATAAAGAAATTATGCAAGGTCTTGAGCCATTTCTCATCATAGGTGGTCACGTACAAAAAGAAATAATGCCTCTGTCATATACTACAATTCATTATATGAGCAGTTGTTTTGTTTAAACACTTAGTATCGTTGGTCACATGGAATGAATGTTCTACATGTGTGAAATACATGAACAATTATACAGAGTGATTAACTTGATTTATTGAAGTCATGGAAGGCTAGTTGAACAGTTGAAAATTCATTAATCTTTTCTATCACTGAAACATAGGAAAAATGTCACTTGACCATGACAAAATATATTTGACAAAGTACAGTGCCCATTTATTATAAATACTTTCAGCAATGACATTTTTTAAGAGGAGTTAGGCACAGTACCTCCAAGGTTTGCCTGGATCTGAGGAGTATCCTGAGTGGAACTTACTGATTACAGACTTACTTATGTATAGTAGTAAGCACTTGAAGCTTCATTACTAACTTCAGAAATGATATACACACATCGGCTCCTTCAACTTTGCTCCTTCAATGTAAAAGTCATCAGTAATATAATGGAAAAGGAAAAGGGTAGAAATCAGAATGTATTGAAAACAAAGATAGAAAACTCTGTCCATGGGTGAGATGATTGTTTACCTAAAAGTAAACTAAAATCTCCAGAATATCCTCATTCATTACTGAATGTAGTGGTTGGCAGGTGTGAAGTTAATCCATACAAGCCAATAAAATTTCCTGTTTACCAGTAATGAAGAAGTATAATGTGACACTAAATTTAAAAATACCATTTATCCTAATGCTAACAAAATGGCATTGAAATATAATGTGAAATATAGTCAAATGTACGAAATCCTTGTGAGAACCTAATATGTTAAATAATTGTTTGAACAGAGAGATAGTTCATCATTCTCTGAAAAGAGACTGAATACACCAGAGTATGCAAATTTGCCTCTGTATTATCTGCTAAACCAGCATATCCCCGAAAAATGAGTAAAGAAGTTTTTAAATAAACATATTTTCAAATTTAAATAAGAGATATTATTTGACTAATAATTGTTAAATAATATCAAACTAACACAAAAATGTCAAATTAGGGTACTGATAGTGTCTGAATTTGAGACTTAAAAAGTCCAATTGTCAGACAAACAAATAAATCAATATTGATCAAATCAAATCAAAGCAGAACAGTGTTCAGAAATATAAATGAAAATATATATGACTGATGGCTAAGATAGAATAAAGACAGCAAATTTCCAAAGAGATTTTGCTTTCAACAAATAAAACTAGGCTACTAGGATACTTGTACTCTGATATGAAATAACCAGTCAAAATTCAGACACTTACACACCAATTTAAAAGTGAATGATTGGAATTAATGTGAAGTACATCAAATTCCTAGACTATAATACAAGAGAAAATTCAATTATGTTTGTGTGTGACAATCAGTGTTTAGATACAGCACAAAGTAATGGTATGTGAAAGAAAAGATATGTTGAACTTAAGTAATAAGAAAATTTTTTTGTTCTATAAAGGTTCACAAAAACAGGGGAGAAAATACATTTGTATTTACAAAGATAAATTTCATAGAATACACCTAGAAAAGGAAGAAATCTTTCACATAACATATGTTTGTACTAGCTGTTTTTCCATTATTGTTTTAACTGGTTGCAAACTTAGACATATCTGAAAAGCAGACAACTTAATTGAGAAAATTCCTCTATAACATTGCTTATAAGAAAACCTGGGAGGGCATATTCTTTATTATTATTGATGTGGAAGAGATCATCCCAGAGAAGGAAGTTCCAGCCTAATCCAGTGGCTCTGAATGGTATATGAAAACACACAAGGTAAGCGATGGATAGCAAGTCAGTAAGAAATAATTTATGTCTTCTGTTCAAACTACTGCCTCTAGGTTCCTGCCCTAAGTTCCTTCCCTTATTTCCATCATCAAAGACTGTGACTCAGCATAGTAATTCAAATTAATCCTTGTCTCTCCTAACTGTTTCTGTTTACAGGGTTTTATCTCAGCAACTGATACCCTAATACAATATAGAAATAAGGGGATTAAACAATAGAGGAGGTTTTACATACCTCTAACTCTCTCAATGGGTGTAAGCAGGAAGAATAAGACAGAAGTTTCTTGCATTCCAAGCAACCCGGACCTATATAACAAGATTACATATAAAAAAGTGGATGAATAACATGAACAATGAAAATGTTTCAAAAGAATGTGAACAAACTCACATATGAAAAGATGTGTCTCCATAGCACCGAAAATGAAAATAAAAAATGAGAAAGCGCAAACACTAGCTTCTCATTGGAAAAGTTCAAATTAAACCCACTGTTAAGAAGTCATGTTGATTAGGTTGCGCCTCTGCAGGCATTTTACATGCCTCTAACAGAACACAGAGCTGTGAAACACACTGCTGCACTAATGAAAAATGGTATAGTGACCTGGGATGGCAAGGTGGCAGTTTCTTCTAAAAATATTCTCCTCCAATAAATTCTATTAATCTTACTTGAAAGATTTTACTCTAAAAATATGAAAACACTTACACAAGGGTTTTCATGGAAACTTTCTTCACAAGAGTCAAATGAGAGCAGTCAAATAACAGGTAAATCATTAACCTGTGGATTAGTCAGTATTCCCTGGAGGAAAAAGAAAAACAATTCTATGAATATTTATCAGGTTGAATTGTCTCATGTTCTTCTGGAGCCTGTTCTTCGAGAACAGGCGATATGCAGGGCAAATACCCAAAGATGCCAAAGAGGTGGCAATAAATGCTTTTGTCCAAGTACAAAGGATTCAAAAACAAATAAACTGATGACGTATTTTGTAGTTTCAGATCAAAACTGAAGGTCTGAAACCAGCAGAAAGGAGCAGTGGCAGCTCTCTTGGAGTTGAGTGTTGCAGCGTCCAGAGTCCTGTTGTTCAAATGCAGGAAATACAAATTGCTTAAGATTCCAGATAGTGATAAAGAATATTAATTTCTGACTTTCTAAGATATTTATCTACAACCCCCATTGATCCCACTGCATGGTACTCTCACTGCCATTGTTGTATTTGACATTTTTACAAAATGTAGAAAATAAAATATCAAGGCTGAATCCTAATGTAAATTAGGAAAAATTGGTAAAAATGATGCTATATACTTTTGTCCATTTTAACAAATGTTATTAGTATGCTAAGATAGATTGATAATGGAAGCTTTTTTTGAGGAAAATAGATGTATCTATTTTATGATTACACTCAAATTATCTAAAATAACTAAAATGATATGTATGTAGTGAGCTTCTGTAGAAGTGTTTAAATTTACTTACTATACTTGTAATTTTATGGAAAAGAAAACTTCTAAATTTTTCAATTATACCTTATATATAAAATAACCCACTCTATATCTTTATATCATGTTAGTGTACATAAACTTAATATTTGGTAATTATGTTTATGACATATTTATAAATATATTGAAATACTCCTCAAAATAATTGCTTCAGTTATTTTTGCATTGTATCTTTAGTCTTCTTTTCTTCAAACAGTTATTCTATATGACATTTAAGATTATAATAGTATGTCCTGAATAGTTTTATCTTAAATGTAATAACCTCCTTTATTTCACATAGTAGGTTCTCCTAAGCATCTATTAATTATGCATTAATACTTTGAAATCTAGGGATTATGTATACATTTATTTCCTGCCTCTCATTTGATAGAAACAAATAAGGATATATTTCAAAGAAGGCAGGTCAATTCCTTTTGTTCATTTGTAGTTAATAGACTCAATAAGTCATTTCTGAGAATAGGATGCTCATCTGAGAAGGTAACTCTTTCATCCTGCTATGAAATCATTTTTGTGTACCAAATTGAAGAAGTGCTGCAAAATTTTAGGCACTGATTATCACAATGGTTATTTCATTGAAGTTGAAGAAACAGTAAACAGAACTATAGTCCAAGAATTTGGACAGAGAGCATTTTGCAGGGAAACTGCTCTACTACTCTGATAAATCTCAGATATTTTTATTTTATACTGCATTGCAGGGCTATCCAGGGTTAAAGAGGCTGACCAGCAATGTCATATTAATCTTGAACTTGCACTATTTTGTTTCAGATTTCTAAGAAGTTGAAATTTTAAGTATTCTTATTAAAGTCATTTTGTTGTGATAATGAACCACTCTCTTAAAGCCATTTATTAGAGTAATGATTGAATATAGCTCCCCGTGTAGCTTACAAGACATCACAGCAGCAACATCAAAGTGGTACATGCTTCAGCCAACTGGTCACAGCACACCTGCAGTAAAGAACAAAGTCAACTTAATACACAGATTCTCAACACCTTCATGCTTACTAGCCTGTGTTCAGCTAGTTTTCTATTTTTTCATATTGTCCAAAACCACTAACTCTAGAAACTCTGGTGTTCCCCACAGTTTACTGGTTCTTCTCACACTTTTTTTTTTAAAACAACTAAGGCAATCCTCCACAGACATACCAACACAGAAACCTCATGTGGATAAATTCTTAAGATGATACTCTTCTGTAGGAAGCCACTCTGACATGAGTCAGCAAGGGCTACCTGAAAGGTGGGTGTGAGGTGAAGGGAATGGCAGATTGAGAGAAATGGAAACAGAAAACACAGGAAAGAGTAAGTGATCTGAAGGTGAATACCAACTATCCTGAGTTTAGTCAAAATTTGTTATCATAAAGATTAAAGGTAGAAGACAGAATAAAGAGCAGTACAGTCAGTCAACTGCATCCCTGCACTGTTCTTGGGAGGAAGCCCAATCAGGTACAACTCTCACAAGAATTCAGATAGCAGCAAGCAGCTCCTAACTCTAGATATGCCATACACCATGCAAAATATTAATAGATAATATGTTCTTTCTCGTTGACTTAATAAGAAGTTTCTCACGGCACTTAATGTTACAACCACAGCAGGCACACTTAAACTCAAATAAGTTCTTCAAGTCAGAATTTTCTTTGTTTTTTTTCAAAGTTTATTAAATTATAAAAGTTTCCATTTCCGCCCCTCTTCCCAACACCCTCCCACTCCCCCCACTCCCTCTCCTCCTCCCTTGTTGTCCCTTAGGGCAGTCAGGGTTTCCTGCCCTGTGGGAAGTTCAAGTTCCTCCCCGCTCCCTCCAGGTCCAGGCAGGTGAGTATCCAAACAGACTGGATCCCCAAAAACCAGTATATGCAGAGGAAACAGGTCCCAGTATCATAGTCAATGGCTTTTCAGAAAGACTTCGGGCCAGCCACATTCAGAGAATCAGGCCAAATTCAGAGAATCTGGTTAGATCACGTCCTCGTTCAGTCCCAGTACAACTGGTCTTGGTAAACTCTCATTAGATCCGTTCCCTTTTATCACTGGGTGATAGCATCCCTCGCAGTCCTGATTTCCTTTTTCATGTTCTTCCTCCTTCTGCTCCTCATTTGGACCTTTGGGGGCTCAGTCCGGTGCTCCAATGTGGGTCTTCGTCTGTATCGCCATCCTTCGGCAGATGAAGGATCTATGGTGATAAGCAAAATATACATCAGTATGGTTATGGGCCACGGCCAATTCAGGCACCCTCTCCACTGTCCAGAGAACAATCTGGGGGATCTCTCCTTGGACCTGGGATCCCATATTTAATCAAGTCTCCTGTAAGCACTAAAATGACCCCCTTAGTTGAAATATATTCTTCCCTGATCCCATATTCATCCTTCCTCCCTCCCCCCCATCCCAGGCCACCAAGCTTTCCCCATTCCTCCCCTACTCCCTTCTCTCTAAACCTCTCCCCTTCCATCAACCATCCCACCCCCCCATGCACCCGAGGTTACCTGGGACTCTTGACTATTTCCTACCTCCTGGCGGATAGCTAAATAATCTTCATCAAGTTCATCTTCTTATTTAGCTTCTCTAGGATCACGAATAATAGGCTCAAAGACCTTTAATTATGGTTAGAATCCACTTATGAGTGAATACATACCGTGTTCCTCTTTTTGGGTATGGCTGACCTCACTCAGTAAAGCGTTTTCTATGTCCATCCATTTGCACGCAAAATTCAAGATGTCATTGCTTTTTACCGCTGAGTAAAACTCTAATGTGTATATGTTCCACACCTTTTTTAACCATTCTTCTGTTGAGGGGCACCTAGGCTGTTTCCAGGTTCTGGCTCTTACAAATAGTGCTGCTATGAACATAGTAGAACAAATGCTTTTGTAGTACGTTAGGGAATCTCTGGGGTATATTCCCAAGAGTGGAATTGCTGGGTCCTGAGGGAGGTTGACTCCCAGTTTCCTGAGAAACCGCCACACTGATTTTCACAGGGGCTGCACAAGTTTGCATTCCCACCAACAATGGATGAGTGTTCCCCTCACCCCACATCCTCTCCAGCATAGGCTATCGTTAGTGTTTTTGACTTTAGCTATTCTGACAGGTGTAAGATGGTATCTCAAAGTGGTTTTGATTTGCATTTCCTGATCGATAAGGAGGTTGAGCATGACCTTAAGTGTCTTCTGGCCATTCGAAGTTCATCTGTTGTGAATTCTCTGTTAAGTTCAGTACCCCATTTTTTAATTGGGTTAATTAGAGTTTTAGTGTCTAGTTTCTTGAGTTCTTTGTATATTTTGGAGATCAGATCTTTGTCTGATGAAGGTTGGTGAAGATCTTCTCCCAGTCAGAATGCAGCCTTTTTGTCCTACTGACAGTGTCCTTTGCTTTACAGAAGCTTCTCAGTTTCAGTAGATCCCATTTTTTCATTGTTTCTCTTATTGTCTGTGCTACTGGGGTCCTACTTAGGAAGAGGCCTCCTGTGCCTATATCTTGTAGACTACTTCCCACTTTCTCTTCTATCAGGTTCAAAGTGGATGGATTAATGTTGATGTCTTTAATCCATTTGGACTTGATTTTTGTGCATGGTGATAGATATGGATCTACTTTCATTTTTTTACAGGTTGACATCCAGATATGCCAGCACCATTTGTTAAAGATGCTTTCCTTCTCCCATTGTATACCTTTAGCTCCCTTGTCGAAAATTAGGTGTTCATAAGTTTGTGGGTTAATATCTGGGTCTTCTATTCGATTCCATAGGTCGACTTCTCTGTTCTTATGCCAATACCAAGCTGTTTTCAATACTGTAGCTCTATAATAGAGTTTGAAGTCAGGGATGGTAATGCCTCCAGAAGTTCTTTTATTGTATAAGATTGTTTTGGCTATCCTGGGTTTTTTGTTTTGCCATATAAACTTGATTATTGTTCTCTCAAGGTCTGTGAAGAAGTTTGATGGGATTTTGATGGGGATTGCATTGAATCTATAGATTGCTTTTGGTAGAATTGCCATTTTTACTATGTTGATTCTCCCAATCCAAGAGCAGGGGAGGTCTTTCCATTTTCTGGTATCCCCCTCAATTTCTTTCTTCAAAGACTTAAAGTTTTTGTCAAATAGATCTTTCACTTCCTTGGTTAGAGTTACCCCAAGATATTTTATGCTATTTGTGGCTATCATTAAAGGTGATGTTTCTCTGATTTCCCTCTCTGCTTCTTTATCCTTTGTGTATAGGAGGGCCACTGATTTTTTGGAGTTGATCTTGAATCCTGCCACGTTACTAAAGGTGTTTATCAGCTGTAGGAGTTCTTTGGTAGAGTTTTTGGGGTCACTTATGTAAACT